CCCAAAAACTATCAGTAGATTTGCCTGTTTTACATATCATTCACCACTTACCACTGTTTGACATCTGGAAAAGGTTGTTCTTTTCAAATTTCTTGAACACGCTTCCTTTGATCTCCACAAACTGCAAAAAACCAAAGTCTATCATGACCAAACTCAAGCTGCTAAATAAGCGACTTATATCTGTATGAATCAAACTCACATTGTTTGACATCATGATGGTGAGCAGGGACTTGTTGTGGGAGTTGAAGGCTACGTTGAGAGTTGTGGCCTGAACCATGATGAGGATGGCATGGAGAACTAGGTGCAAACATGTTAAGGAAAACACAATACACTGAGGACTACAGTTAGGAAACATAATGGGTATCTGTGTATGTATATATATATATATATATACACACACACACACACACACACACACACACACACACACACAACGTTTTTCCATTTGCTTGGTGACTGTTTATTTCCGCATTATTATTTCTCATTGGTGACCAAATATTTTGTCTTTCTACTATTCTCTTTTCTTTCATCTGCTGTTTCTATTTTTTAAATCTAAACAGAAGCTTGTAAAGCAATTTGTTATAAATAAAGGATTATTCATTTATTTGCACAACAACTTCTTGTCAATTCACTAATTATTTCAGCTCTAAAGGTTTGTTTCTTCCTCATCTCTGAACTGGTCACATCATGTATAGAAGTAACAGTAAAAAGTATGTCCCTCTCAGTGAAGGATGCAGACATAGAGTACGGCCACGAGGAAGTGTGGAATAACGCCTATGTGTGCTCTCTTCTTCTCCTTGGGTTCAGTGGCCGTCCAGTACAGAGCATCCAGGATGTCCTGGCCAAATGATGAGAACAGGCGGTCTGCCACCTGACAGAACAACAAATGAAGGACAACGGGGCAACAGAGTGAATCAAGTTGGTCGCTGAATACACAGTGCGATCAGAGTTAAAACTTTAAGAAGAGTGATCCAGTTGTACCTCTAACATGTTGTAGATAATGTAGAGCTTGATGACAGACTGTCCCCTGATGAGGTGGTACATCATGGCGTAATCCACATAGCTCATCATTGAGTAACAGAGCACCATAATGAAGCCTTTCAGCACATCACACACCTGGGCTGGCTGAAGCAGGCGGGAGCCACTAAAACACATAGACATTACAGATGAAAGGAATGTTCACAAAAATGACAGCAGAACAGAGAAACAGAATGCATCTTATCATAATCTGTTTAGTCTGAACAGTCAGAGACCTTGTCTGCCCTCTACAGGTCAAGAACAATAGCACAACTGTTTCTAAATCTAGACGTTGACATGAGAAGCTACTTATCAAAACACTGTGTGTTTTTCATTTTGTACCAGGGCTGCAACTAAGTTATTTTCATCATCAAATAATCTTTTAGCTATTTTTCTAGTCTCTTTTAATTGGTTAGCGTTTAAAACACAGAGAAGTGGCCATCATAATTTTTCACCAGGTAACATCTTCAAACTGATTTCTGACCATTTGTCCCAATCCCACAGATATAAATGGATAACAAAGAAAGAAAAACAAGAAATATTCACAATTTAGAAACAGAAACAAATGAATGGTGGCCATTTTTGCTTGATAAATTACTCAAAACCATTAACCTTTTACTAACATAGTTGTCTTCTGTTAATTGATTAGTGAACTAATCAGCAGGACATGCACATGATATGGATCTATTAACAGTATCATCTGTATATAACATATTATAATGCAATTTCTTACAAAAATTTTCATCTTACAGAATTAGGGTAACATTAGTGTACTTTTTTAATTCTTGAGGTGGTTTCCACTGATGGTGTAATGGCTTAAAATATACTGTACAGCATATTTATGTGTGAACTTTACCTTAGGCCGCAGCATGGCAATGTGAGGAGCCGTAAAAGGGCCAGAATCACCCTGAGGGGCAGCAGGGTGAACACGTAGAGAAAGGCATCCAGACAAAGGAAGAAGCCAAATGTCATCAACTAAGAGTGAGAGTGCGAGAAAGACAGAGAGAAGGAAAATAAATATATTTGTGACTTTTTAAAAATGTTCAGAGTTAAATGTTTTATATGTTTACCTTCTCCAGCTCCTTGGGGATGCGGAGGCAGGTGTAGACCCTCTCTCTGCGCTCTGTGTATTTGGCCTCATTGTGTTCCAGGAAATAGCCTCTGGTGAGCTCAGTAGTTATAAATCTTATCAGAGAAAAGTCTAGATATACACACAGAGACAGAGCATTGATAAGTTACAAACACACATTACAAACTAAGCCAGTCCTTCCTCAAGCATCCAATGAACAAGATCAGTGTAGATAAAATAAGGGGGACTTCTGCCAAAAGCTGTCAGTGATGTCTCTTACACTCTCTCTCTAACACAAACACCTGTAGCTGCGTGTTTGTTCATTTCCACTGCAAACAAAGAGAAGTCTTTAGCCTTAGCTAATAATAAACCACACAATTTAAAAGCCATATTCAGCAAACCCATAAAAATATGAAGTAGCACACTAAAACCAAAACCATGAGCAGTAACAGGCTACACTCTTCTAAAAGGTTTTTCCACAACATTTTGGAGTCTGCAGGATGCAGAGACTTGCTCCCTTTCTACCACATGAGCATTAGTGAGGTCAGCCACAAATGCTGGGGTTCCAATTCATTCCAAAGGTGTTAAGATATTGAACAAAATTTTTAAACGTGCATTATAAACCAGACTGTTTACCAGGCAAGAAGGGCCTAATGAAAGGCTCTACCAAGTACTAAATGATTATTTGAACTGAATTTCTCCATATAATGTATTCCTTTGCCATCTCTAATCCAGTCATCGTTTGTTGTAAGATTTGGCTGCAGCCATTTCCATGTAACCAGTACACTGATGTATTTTATTCAAATGGTTACCTTTGGCTTTGTACAGTATGTATCCATCCAGCAGTGCCTCTGACTGCTCCTGTGCAAACAACACGGTTTCTCATAGGTCTTACTTTGACAGAGAAGCATACTGGCTTTAGCATGATCACATGCAGGACGCTGACAATCGAGACTCCCACTGCCAGGTGTAAGTTGGATGCTTATAACATACATTACTTTAATTCAGCTTGATGTTTCACAAACTGTAGCTGTGGTGACAACCACATCCTGAATCAAACGCAAACTCGGTGCAGCGCCCAAAGCTGCCAAGACTCAACTGACTGAAACTGGAACTGCGTGCTCTGCTCAAGTAACGATACTCTCACAGATAACTACACGTACAGCGTAGAAACATTATCCAATCCCAGGTGTTTTACTACTATGTAAACCAAGCCAATTACTTCTGCAGCTAGCTATCTTGTCACTGTCAAACCGGGGAGAGGTCTGTGGTTGTGGAAAGTAGGCTAGCTCTTACCTGACAGGTTGCGTTTCTTGTCACTCCGACCGCTATTTCTATCGCTGAACCCCAGTGTTTCTGTGACTCCGTCGTTCTCTTTGTTCTTCTCGGTTTTGCCAGCCTTTCTATCCCTCTCTCTGTCAGCCTTCTCCCCCTCTTTCTCGTCTCCCAGACCTGTCGACAGCAAGTCCGCCATCTTCCTCAAATGGTCTCAACCGCTGCCTGGGAGACTGACAACTGAGTCACATGATCTGACGTCACCACGTCCTGTACTTTTGACCAGCAGGTGTCGCCAACAGCTCATCAAGCATGCGGCATGTTAGAGCTGCCTAAGCTGATTGATTGCATTATTAATAGCTGTTTGATTGCTTCACTCATCAGACCCCTTTGTTTACAAAAACAATATACAACAATCACACATCACTGGATAACAGGTATGTCAGAATGAGAATATAACAAATAGACAATCAAAATACCTACAATAACAAAAATATAGCCTAAAAAATATAAATAATTATAGCAATAAATCACAACATCATAATGATTAAAGAAAGTATAAAAATAAAACAAAATAATTTTTTTTTTATGTTTAGCAATACAATTTCCAATGTTTCAGACACCATTAATTGTAGCATGTTTTTAACAGTTTTAAGAGTCTCTGTAATTTGACTTACATATGTGAAATTTGCTTAATAGTATAATCAAATTAACCGATCGTTTAGTTTGTGGTATTCTGTTTTGATTAATTGCAAAATTGGCAATGTGTAGGCTTACTAGTAAAGCACATAACTATACACATGGTGGCTCCATTGTTCCCTAATCTTGAAATGCTTGCGGCTGGGCCCTGTGTCAAAATCTGCTTTTAGTGCCTTTTAGTTTTTTATTCCAGCAGCAGGAGTGCAGACTTATTGCAACTATGTTAGCCTTTGTGTAGGGATCTTTGTAGCCTACATTTTTACTTTATGTACAGTAGCCTATGTGTTTTATTAGCTGTAGGCTATTGCACATTCTGGGAATAATGGAAACCTTTGGGGTTATCTATAAATAATGTAGTGGAGCAGTAAAGTACTGTAGGCTAAAATGGAATTATTCAACACAAGTAGCCTACCTCAAATTTACTCACAGTGCTTAAGTAAACCGTTATAAGCTAAATGAATAAGTGAAGGATGCAAGGAACAAGATGGGAGATTTATGACATAAAGTCTAAATATGCCAAACTCATTGGCCCCTCTGTGGTTAATGCTTGAACCTGACCTTTAGTGTGTGCTGTAGTGGATCATATTTGTCATTCTGACACAATTATCTCCTACATGGTTTTACAGTTGTAGCTCCAAAGGCCAGGTTGCAGAGGTTAATCCATCTCCTGAATAAAGAGGAGTGAACAGTCTGCGAAGCAGAAAGCAGGCGCACAGGACAGGGATAGAGTTTCTCTCGGTAACGGATCTCTTTGTCCGCCATAGAGTCTCTTTCTCCTCCCTGGTGACTCATGCGTCAGTGTAAGCAACATTTCAACAAGCTACTACAACGCCTGCTGTTTTTGTTGGATTATGATTTATTTTTACTTTTCACACTATAGGATAAACTCATGGTGATCACCGAGTGCGCTCCGCGGTCGCTGCCCGGCGTCGTGTTACTTCTCTCGGGGCATCATGGGCTCGTAAGATGCCTTCTCTGTGGAAACGGATAACGTTCTCGGTGGCCTCGGTGCTCTGTGTCGGCTCGGTGGCCCTCTTGGTCGTGGCCTTGTCCACTGAGCGGTGGGTCACCGGAAGGATCCTGTGTAAAACTGGGGCGGAGATAGTGAACGCGTCCAACCCGGAGCTGGATCAGTTCGTCGGAGATATTTACTACGGTTTGTTTGAGGGAGGAAAGAGCAAGAGGTGCGGGCTGGGAACGAGGTACTCCAAAATATACAGTAAGATAAAACACAAGACCCCCAGCCTGCTAATCCCTTTACGACCTGCACCCAGTCTCCCCTGGAGATCCCGTGTTCAAAATATGATGCTATCATTGGAAAATGTAGACAAATATGAGTAACCTGAGGAACCTGTGGGATATTTTTTTAAAATGGAATTATCTGCTGTTAATTTAAATCCCCATTATCAACAGAGGTTCACACTAATGTCTTTGTCATAAATCACCAGAAATTATTCATATAACATCTAATATTCATATGGAGATTACATACTGTCATCTCTTGGAGAACTGAAGTAATCAGTAAAGCAGAATAAAGAATATCACTCCATCAAGATTAGCCTGCATCTTTTAAGATCAAACCAAGACCTGAACTCACAGTTTCCAAATTGCCAAGCACATCTAGGCTGAATTTGCAACATTTGTATAAAATGATGCATGAGTCATCCAAAATTTGAAATGGTACATTCATATTTAATTAAATGGAAACATGCATGTACAGCACTGAAGAGTACCGTCAAACAGTAAAAATATTTTTCCAACCTTAAGGAAAATCTTTATGTTAATAAGACACAACTGTTCCTTAGGGTGCAATTATATCCTTAACATGACAAGCTGAATAATACAAATTGGAAAGCATCAGAGAATGTTGTCTAAAGACATCTTGGTGCTACCACTGTACAGCAAGCATTCAGACATACTGACTTATATATCACAACATATTAACTATGATATGATTCAGTATATAAGTCAAATCATTAAACCACAATCTCGTGTTCCAGCACTTTCAGCCATATGTAATTAACTGACTCTTTTGTCTGTGCTTGTAAATAATGAATTAAAATAATGTGAGATTTGTTCAAATTCTGCATGAATCTTTTGCAACTGAGGACATCTTTCTTCATGCCAGTGCCACACACATACAAGCGCTGTTCAGGTGGAGACATGCTGCATCCACACATTGTCTTCATTTATGTACATTTTCACATCTACAACCTTCACCTTCTCCTTCCCAGTACACATACTCTATTTCTGGATTCTGCCAACAATAACATTCAATTGTTTGCCACTGACTGTGCTTTTCAGTTTTATACAAACCAGCCAGCAGAGCTGATGATGTGTTTCTGTTTGTTTCTCTGACTGTCCAGTCTTCCCACATCTCGTGCTGACGTTGAACGGTGGCCTTCACGTGATGGTGATCCTCTTCCTGTTGGTGGCCGTTGGCTTTGCTCTGGTCAGTCTCTCTTTTTGTATTTACAATGCACGCAAGGTTCCATACCAGAGCATCAAAGGGCACAAAGGACTTTATCTGTGGAACTTCATTGCTGGTATGTGAGGAAGGTTTGTTACACTTTCTCTTCCCTCATTTATCTCTCTTTAATGTTTCATATACTTCATAATTTACACTCTCTCCCTTGAACCTTGGTTTCTTTCATTCAGTCTTTTTATATTTCTTCTTATTCAGTTTCCATTACCCTTTTTTATTTTTACTCGAGTGTCCTGGTGCTTTTGAGTAGCCTGTACCTCAAACCTCCCGGACTTCTCTCCTCTGTTTCCAGCTTTTTTTGGTGCCCTGGGTGTTCTGTGCTTCCTGGCAGCAGTGAGGCACCACAATCTGACCGAGCGGGTGGCAAACTACGAAGAGAATCTCTTTGTCCTTGTAGTACTGGATGACAGCCTGGACTTGTCTTTTTGGCTGGGTGTAGGTAGCATTGTGACTCACTTTGCTGTCAGTGGAGTGGTTGCAATGAGCCGAATCAAGCTGCCCAAACCAGAGATCAAGAAACCCGAAGAACCCACCATCTCCTCTCTGGACCTGCTGTACTGAAGGACTGAACAGGGAACATGTTAGCGCTTCTAGTTAATAGTAATAATAATCACCTTTATTTGGGGAAGTATGTTACACACAAGGAATTTGTTTCCACTACAGAAGCAAGGCAGCTATCTGCAGCGCCAACTCAACCGATGGCTCTAACCATCGGGGGCAACTTGGGGGTTCCTTGTCTTGCCCAGGGACACTTGGACATGTGGACTGCAGGCACTGAGATTCAAACCTCTGACACTCTGGGAGATGACTGCTCTACACACTGAACCACAGTCGCCCCCAAATGATCATTGAAGGTTGGCTCCTGGTGTGAAACAGGCTGACTTACGAAGAGCAGAGATAACCAACATGTGCCAGTGCCCCTTTGCTTTGCAAGTTCATTTAGGCACATTACATTATTTTCTATGTAAATTCTAATTTGACAAATCATATTCAGTCTTAATAAATGTTTCTTTGTCATTGAAAATGTTTTAAAGGATCAAAGTATTGACTGTAAAATGGTTTGCTCACAGCCTTGACTCATGGCCAGCCTAACCTGTTTGGGGGCCCCGGTACTAAAATAAGCTGTTCGCCCCTTATCAACCTCCAGGTCCTCTCACTCTGTCTTTAATTTGTCCAGCTTCTTTATGCTGAATTACTACCTGGTCCCAGATATACTCTGTGGTAAACTACTAAGAAAATAACAACAATAAAACTGAAAAATTGAGACTCTTGAAATTACATGTAGACCCAGAGTCCTTCTGATGTTGAAAGTGGGTCTCAAGATTGAGTGGTGCATTTTCCCAAGCAAATGTTTAATAAAATTTGTACAAATGGTACTACTGATGAGTATGGATTTATAGAAACACAGCAAAAGTATTCATTTTTACACTATATATACAGAATAAATGCACCATCAAACCACATCAGTTTTTACACTGCCCAGTATTACAGGTTTGCTGTTAGAGGCCTCTAATTTGTCCAAGATACAACACCATCTAGTCCCAGACCTCTAAATAGGATGATAAGAGTACAAACGTATTAAGTTTTATAATATCACGAGTAGTCCAACAGACAAAGGAAAAAAGCATGAAGACATAAAGACTGTGCATCAAAGAAGATGCTACCACATCCTGCTAGGACCTGGACTACAAACCTTCTTCTGTGGATTAAACAGTGGCGAGTTTGTTGTTTGACAAGACACACTGGAAATTTTCAAAGAGACACAGACAAACGCTATGAGTTGTTCATCATGACGGACTGTGGACGTGTCAGATTTTTGACCTGTTGGTGGCTGTGCTGCCACATTACACCCAGCATTAAATCACAGTGACAAGTTTGTCCCTTGTGGTAATGGTTGTGATCACAGATGAATCACAGAACAAGCTGGAACACAAATGACAGGTCTGCAGGCTTCTTATTGGCCTTCTGTTTTGTTGGTTAATTGCAGTTCTGGAGGAATTAAGATTGATTGTACTGAGTAGCCTTGATATATGAAAGCAAAGGCTCCTGCAGTTCAAATGTGACTGCTGAACTCTGGGCATCCTGTGCTGTATATATTTTGTCTATAGCTGCAATATGTAAGTACATCATCATGTTTTCGTTATATGTATGAAATGTCATTAACAGATCTGTTTTTCAGTCGCTTTATGTTTCATAGAATAAAGGCTTAAGTATCTGATTTACCTGGAAGTCCCATTTTGACAAAGTTAAAGTCAGTTTTTTTTTACAGTAAATATCTTTGAATCCCTGGAGAAAGTATGGAAAAAGCATGCAATGTATTTCATTTGTGAGTGTAAGTACTAAATGTATCTGAGCTTCCATAAACAGAAAGAAACTTAAATATAAGCAAAAAATATCTTTCTTTCAATTTAAATTGGTCATAAAATGGCCCTCACATCTGAACAAGTTAGCAAAAAATCACTTTGGCTACAAATAAAGGGCTGTTAAGCCATGTATTAGATTGTTATAATTTCATGTACTGAGTAGGCTGCATGATTTCAGAAATATGTAAGAGTCCTCTTTTCTTGTCATTGTTTTTGTTTATGAAACTATCTGACTTGTGACAAACCAATATTTGCAGACATGAATTAAAGCAATATTGTTATTACACATTTAATTTTTGTTGGTGTTTTATTTTGTAGTCTTCATTATCTTAATTTTTCTCTAAAGTAATATAATATTTTCTGTCCCTATATTAGGCCTTGGCTCACTGAGGATTTTCTTATAAATCTGTGATGCAGTGGAAAAAGACCTTGGTAGATGCAGTGGTAAAACCTTTGCCTCCCATCATAACAATACACATGCTTGGTTTTAGTGTCTTGAGAAACAGAACACAAAGGAATTGGAAGTATAACATTTAAATAGCTTACTCTATGTGAAGAGTAGAAGAACCCATCTGTGGTTCTCATTTTGATGCTTGATATGACACAATGCATACATTAACATTTAAACAGTCTGTGGGCTCTAACTCCTTATATAAGAACAGCACATGGATCAGATTTTGTGTTCCAGATTATCAACTGATATTGCAAACTGATGAAATAGCCTACACTCCAGCACCTGTTTATTAGATACACCTAGCTAAAACTAATGCAGTATAATGCAATAGTAATCCCTTCATGAGGGTGAAGCCTAAGAGTTATTGATTCACTTTTATGATCATTTATAAGGATGTAGTTAGTTTGTGCTGCTGGTGAATTGTGTTCTCCACTGATAGGTGTTTGTATTATTTTGTTCAGACCATGTATGTCAGTGAGAATATATGAAATAACAGGATCACATATTTTTATATAACAGCAAAAACAAAAAAGTGTCAAGTTTAATCAACGTCTAACACAGTATGAACAAAAAACAAATATTGTTTTATTGTGTAATATTTGTTGATTTTCTTTTAGGTAATATTTATTGATGTTTTTTAAGTGTAACTACTCACTAAAGTGTATATGCTGGCACCAAGTGAGTGTTGTTTTACTGTATTTATATATTGGTACCCTGAAGTGCATCTAAATTTCATTGTATATTTTTTGTACAATGACAATAATCTATCTATCTATCTATCTATCTATCTATCTATCTATCTATCTATCTATCTATCTATCTATCTATCTATCTATCTATCTATCTAAACATAAGCATATTACCTTCATAAAGGGGATTTATTACAGTGCTGTTGTACAACTGTGACTGTGCCTCTACCATTTGTCACACTAGCTGCTGACTCAAATCTCCCTGCAGCTTCCCATTGATATCGCCAGGGGGCGATAAAGACTAGTTTTGTCGCTTGTCTATGACGTATGAAAATAGTGACGCTAACTTCCCTCGGGTGGTTTTTGCACATGTTTATGACCTTTGAGCATTTGAATGAACCGTTTTGGGTCTATTTGTTTAGTAGATGACAATGTTTCTTGTAAGGAGAGCTGTGCAGGCGGCGGTGCGGGCAAATCACTGCAGGTCGTTTTCTGCCTCACAGACTCACCTGAGCGACAGAAAAGTGAGTAGTTTGTTTAACATTAGCTGAGTGTTTGCTTGCTTGTATGTGGTTAAAATCCTGCTGTGTGCATGTGTCTCTGCAGGGTTTGGTGCTGGGAGTGTATGAGAAGGAGGGAGAGGAGGGCGGTCCTCATCTGACAGAGGCAGCCACAGGTTTTGACCTAAGTCTGTCTGGAAAACTCTCTGAACTCCTGAAAATGTGAGTTTCTACTGTCTGTAAACTGACAGTGCACAGTTGTACAAAGGACTGGTTTAGTTGGGTGACAAAACTTGTGCACTGATCTTTTTTATTATGTTTATGATTGTAACAGCCTAGCAATAAATCCTCTACATGCAGTACAGCACTGTTGTTAGCATGCTGATCAGAATCAGAATATACAATAAATATGATGGTGCTTTATCATCATTTTTCAGTTGTATTATCAGTTTTTCAGCCTATTCCATTCAGACTGAGTGACTCTAAAACACCTGTTGGAGGGGAAAAGTTGGTATTTGCTATTTAGGGAGTGCGGGGTCAGAAGATCACCTAAGTGAGTTGGCCACTTAGGTGGCCCCCCATTGTCACCTAGCTGATCAGCAGAGCTAGTGATGTTTTTCAGGCTTCTCCACACAGATGAGGGGTCACTGGGTGAATACTGGTTTTTCTGCTTTTCAGAGTAGCTCCTCTTTGCTACTCTGATCTCCCCTGTCACTATGTTCCTGGCCTGCCTGTACAGGATCCTGTCCCCACTTCTGTAGGCCTCCTCTTTGGCATGATGAAGCTCCTTGAGTTTTACTGTGAGCCAGGGCTGGTTGTTGTTGTTGTATGTGTGTGCAGAAGGTCTTGGTGGGCGCACACACACACACACACACACACGTCCTCACAAAAGCTGATGTATGATGTCACAGTATCAGTGAGTTCATCCAGGTCTGTAGTTGCAGATTCAAAAACACATTGCATTGAGAGAAAGTTTACATATTGACAAATTTGTGAATGCAGAGGGATCTGATTATCTTGTGGCAGCATTTGGGAAAAATCTGTAATAAATGCTCTGAAACAATACGCACATAAAATTTTCACAGGCCCACAAAGAATGACCATGAATGAGCCTAATCTTAAATTGAAAAGGGTAAAGAGCACTGGTAACTGTAATACAAAACAAGCAAAATATAGTAGTGCATCCCTAATGGATATGAGAAAATCATTTATCTATATATTATGTCCATTCTGTTTATTGAATAAACTCCTGTTTTGCATTCCCCAGCTCTGGACCTGCACTCAAGAAAGGCAAAAGCAGAATGTTTTATGGAATCCACAAGGTAAAAAACAAGTGAGACTTAAGGTTGAGAAAGCCCATGTCTTGACACTTTCACAGTAATTATATCTATTCCGTGTCTTCTCAGGACTTCTCATGTGTAGCTGTAGTCGGGCTGGGTAAAAAAACAACAGGAGTATGTGGGGCAGAGAACTGGGACACCAGCAAGGAGAACATCAGAGAGGCAGTGTCGGGTAAGGGACGCTGCTAGTATTACTACTGGCTATTGTTGGAGTTGTTTGATATCCATTTATTTTTCTGTGCATGTCCAGCTGGCTGCCGGTTGCTTCAGGACTTAGAGGTGAACCATGTGGAGGTGGACGGCTGTGGTGATGCCCAGTCAGCAGCAGAAGGTGCCCTTCTGGGTTTGTTTCAGTATGACCAGCTGAAATCCAAGAAGACGACCAGAGTAGCAGCACAACTTCATGGCAGGTAGACTGACAAGTGTGAGGAAAGTTCTTTTATTTGAGAAGAGAAGACTAATAAAAGGAAACTGAAATTGGGCACACTTTTGACACATTAGGATCAATGCAGTATCATGTGACTGCATCTGTGTCTCTATTGCATTGTTCTTAGTACTGACTTGATTGGCTGGGAGAAAGGAGTCATGTATGCAGAAGGCCAGAACCTGGCACGACTACTCATGGAAGCTCCAGCTAATTTCATCACTCCTACTGCTTTTGCCAATGCCATCGAAGAGAAACTAGCACCACATGCCGAACGAGTCAGAATAAACAAGAGGTTTGTGCATCATTCATTATCCCGATTCACCACTGACATTACTTTAGAGACTAGTCAGAGACATTTACACTGACCTTTTATAAGTGATCTGTCTTTGTATGTGTACAGTATTTGAATTTGTTGCATTGTTGAAGGACATTTTAGACATCTATATTTTTTACTCATTGGATTTGCAAGGCATTCTGGGACATGTAAATCCAGCTGCCTTGGACAGATACTGGATACTTTGCATGCTGTGGGAAAATTGTTTAGGCTCATTTAGAAAGAAAATAACAGATTTTTGCTTTTATGTATACTGTATAATATCAACTATAAAATCAAACCTTTCCTACTTTATAGTATTTTTGAAAGTTTTGAGCATTTATTGGGCTGGAAACTGTCAGTCTGCATGTAGAGCTGATTAATCAGCTGCTGTTTTGATTATCACTTCATCATTCAAGTAGTTTTTCAACATTCTTGAGTTCTAGCTTCTCAGTTGTGAAGATTTGCTGCTTTTCTCTGTTTACTTTCAGGGTAAACTGAATGTCATTGGGTTTTGAATGTCTGCTTGGACAAAACAGGCAATTTTAGGAAAGAAACTGACAGGGTTTTTTCTTTCTACCTTTTCCTCACATTATAGTGCTTGATTATTCGATCTTAAAGAAATGATCACTTGTTGCATTAAGAGAAATGACTCAAAACTATGTTATTTAGGTAGTCACAAGTATGATGGTAGCAGCAATATGATGTGATGTAAGGTTTAATACTCAGGAAATATATTTTCAGTTGGGATCTGCTCTAACATTTGAACATTTCTGTTAAACTCAAGTTAAGGGCTAAGCTGGAATATTTGGTTCTTTAAGGTCTGAGTCATTGCTATGCATGTCATTTAAGCTGACAGTTTGGAGTGTGGATGAAGTGAAAGAGGATTAGTGTAATAACTCGTGTCTTTATGCAGATCCCAGGCCTGGATAGAGGAGCAGCAGATGGGAGCGTTTCTCAGTGTTTCTAAAGGTTCAGAGGAACCCTCTGTCTTTCTGGAGGTCCATTACAACGGTTCACCTGATAGCACGCAGGCCCCGCTGCTCTTAGTGGGGAAGGGCATCACCTTTGACAGGTAAATGGAAATAACACACTAGAGCTCACTCTCACCATCACACTCCTGTGGTCAGAATGATATCCAATGGACCACACAACTCATCCTCCAAGAACAATGAGGTCCTTATATTAATGTGTTTTTTGGTTCACTGCCTTTCCTCTCTCTGTTTGCCGGCAGCGGTGGTATTTCTCTGAAGCCGTCTTCTTCTATGGATGCAATGAGAGCTGACATGGGAGGTGCCGCTACTGTGTGTGCATCTATTGTCACAGCAGCAGCTCTGAAATTGCCAGTCAACATTATCGGTGAGTTTCATGGCTAATAAAAAGACCTCCAGCACCATAGGTTTCTATATCACTTAATGAATAGAGAATGCCTAAATAAAGTGTGAGCTATCAAGTTGTTTTTAATGTGTTTACATCTCTGAATCACAGGGGGATGTCATTTGGACTTTTTTGACACCTATCAATAGAAAAAGTACTTATTGTAAATGTTCAAGTGAATATTAGCCTGTCTGTCCTTGCTTCGTATCATTCAACCAGGTCTGGCTCCTCTGTGTGAGAACATGCCCAGTGGAAAGGCCACTAAACCAGGTGACGTTGTAATAGCCAGAAATGGAAAAACAATCCAGGTGGGTGTATCCATGACGACACGGGAAAGCTGGAAACCGTGATCCGAGTGAGTTTTCAAATTTCTATGAGGGTGTACTGATGAATAGATATCACTGTTCTCTCCACATCCAGGTTGATAATACAGATGCAGAGGGTAGGCTGATCCTTGCTGACGCACTCTGTTATGGACAAACCTTCAACCCCAGAGCCATTGTAAATGTTGCTACACTAACAGGTGGGATTTCCAAAATAATTTATGAACAAAGTGACATTGGTGACAAAAAAGATTTGATGATTATGTCTTGTTTTTGTCTTCCAAACAACAAGGTGAAAAACACTTGGAAATCTGGGTTTCAGTCTGGTTTCATTCAAACTCTGGTGTGGTTAGTTTTTGTGGTGTGAAAACAAAACAGACAAACCACTGGACTTTGTAAGAGTATATATAATTTTACCATATATTTAAATGCTAAATTACTATTAAATCCTTCTCTTGATTATAAACTCTCAAGGAAACAATTTTATATAAGCTATACAGTCTATTTACACAAGATAATTTGATAACCATGGTAACACATATGCACGTCACCATGTGAGCATTTTCCTTGGTCAGTCAGACAGGGACAAGTGGTGAAAACCGATGTTTGTGCCCTAATCTGTGTATTTTTGCCAGTTTCCCATAAAAAAAGAGAGTGAAACATATATGTGCTAGTATACGAGATGCTACTTGCTGGTCATTATTCATAAAATCTAAGGTCCAGTTGCCTTCTGGGCAGTTCATGCTAATAATTAGTGGTTTCTTTGTGAGCTCACTGTGGCTCCAGAGATAAATTAACACATAAGATGCAGTAAAGTGCTGCATCATTTGCTGTAACTCGGTGGAATTTGGTTTCCCCATATGGATCCACATAGTACTGGTGATGCAAGAATACAACTGTCCAAACACAGAGTCACGCATCACGCCATATATGATTTAATGTTTACAGTTCATGGTTTGTGGGTAATAAGTCAGTGTGGACATGTCATGGACCAGATCATGACAAGTGTTAGTATGTACCAACTGAAATGAACTATCAGTGTGAGATTTATCTTCTGTTCATATTTTTGCATGATTAAATTCAGTTATGATTAATAAATATTAAAATGCAGCTTCTTTTCTTTTGTATTCAAGGTGCAATGGATGTAGCTACTCTGACTGGCTCTGGAACCAGCTGCACAAGGTACTGTGCATGCACAGCGAGCATGTGCGCAGTGTATTAGTCTCTGATTCCCATGTTGACAAATGACATACGTCTGTGTGTTGTAGGCTAGTGTTGTGACAGGTGACAGAGTATGGCGCATGCCTCTGTTCCAGCACTACACCAGACAGGTGACTGACAGCCAGCTGGCTGACCTCAACAACGTCGGCAAGCACAGTCGGTACGTGTCTACACTAAGTGAGTGCCTGCGGCTCCAGTTAGATGCCTCAGAGTAGCAGAGGAGTCTAGCTAGCGCTTTATTTACCTGCGTCTGACTAGTGTATCTGTTCATTTCTTTCTAGTTCTGGTGGTGCTTGCACAGCAGCTGCATTCCTGAAAGAATTTGTCACAGCTCCTCACTGGGCTCATCTGGACATCGCTGGTGTGATGAGTAATAAAGATGAAATTCCCTACATGAGAAAAGGCATGTCTGGAAGACCAACACGTACCCTTGTGGAGTTGGCTGCTGGGCTGGCCCACCATGGTTGAGAGATGGACTCAGACCAGCTTCCAGCAGGATTCAACAGGAATATTTCCACAGAGACCCATAATAATAATAATAATAATAATCACCTTTATTTGGCCAAGTATGTCACACACAAGGAATTTGTTTCCGATATAGAACTGAGGCAGCCATCTGCAGTGCCAACTCAACCAATGGATTTAACCAACGGGGGGGTTCAGTGTCTTGCCCAGGGACACTTCGACATGTGGACTGCAGGCACCGAGATTCAAACCTCCAACTCTCCAGATGGGAGACGACCATTCTACCCACTGAACCACAGTCACCCCCAGAGGGTCAGAGTCCATGCACATACACAGTATGATTTCCTTGGAAGAACTGATGAAGTATTTTGTGAAACAATATGTTGGCAACTTGATGTTTACATACAACAAATGTATCAGTCCAGTTTTTTAAACCTGAGTCTATTACACATTTTCTTCCCTTCACGGTTGTGATTTCAGCTGAAAACCTCTGTCTTAACTACACAGTAATTGTGCGTGAACATGTGCATCTGACATGACTGCATTTACAGTATATGTAATTGTTGAACACATAATTGAAAAGCCATGGTTATTAACAACCTCCAGTCTTATGAGAAGCCCCTGCAATAGATTTTGGAACCTGGATTTTGTTCCCTTTCTGCCACGAGAAAATTTCAAAACCCTGATGTTAGATAACAAGACATGGCTTGCCGGTTGTGTTACCTGAGGCGTGATGAATGGGGGGATGAGGTCAGATGGGAAAAACCATTTCTTTATAAATCTCATGCTGTGAGTGTGTACACCCCCTTGGATGTTTTATAGATTTTATAAATCAATCATGGTATATAGTTTGGCTTTCTTGGCAAAATAAATTACAAAAACTAATGTCAAAGTGAAAATGGGTTTCTACAAAGTAATGTCAAATAGAAATATGTAATGGGAAATAAGTGATTGCATAATAAATATTCACCCCCTTTTAAAATGACTGACCTAATTCAACAGAAGTTCAGACAGTTGGTATTAGTAGTCTCACAATTAGTGAAATGGGGATCACCTGAGTGCAGTGAATGTGTCTCAGGTGATTGTAATATAAAGACACCTGTGTGTGAAAGGTTCAGTCACTGGATAATCAGTATTCCTGGCTTGCATTACACCATGAAGACAAAGGAACACTCCAAGCAACTCAGAGAAAATGTTATTGAAAAGTATAAGTCAGGGGATGGATGCAAAAATCTTCGCCCGCTGCTGTAACCATAAAATGCCTCAAATCGAAAGTAAATGGTCTAGCCCAAATGAGAAACAGTCATATTTATACCCCGTAATTCGTGTGCGCATGTGCGGACAGATTAGACAACAAACACTCAGAGGAAGATGGCGTCGTCCATGAGTGGGATGTTTGCTGGCCAGCAGCCGCCTGGTCCGCATCCTGTCGGGGGTCCTACTGGACCCGGTCAACTGGGCTTTCCCGGTACTGCCGCCAGAGCCCAGGGAAACAGCACACTAGTCGATGAACTGGAGGCTTCCTTTGAGGTAGGAGGCTGCTGTGCTCTTTTACGTTAGCTGCGTGTGCTAACTCATGTTCGCTAATTTTAAGGTGTAGCTAGCTTGTTACTGCAGCGTCTCTCGGAGGGGTATTAAACACCTAGCTTATTTCGCAACAACTTTACTGAGTAAAGTACACTCAGATAACTATGCTTTGCATCTTATCGTTGATGCCAAAACTGTTCTCAGCGTGCCTAATTAGCCTAATGTCTGAGGCTTTTCATTTACGGAGCCAAACATTCTTATTCTCCTTTCCAGCCTCTGAGACACCAAGTAGCCGCTATCTCCCCTGCCTAAACCAACTTAGGCGCTGCCTCTCACACACATTACATTCGTAATTGTCAATTGTGTGCAAACACAACACAAATAAATGCTAACCTTAATAACATGGCTGCAGCTCTTTCTTGCACAACAGGAATCACACACTGACTGTCCATTTAGTTGTACTTAGTGGTGATCCAGGTCTGTTTTAACAGTTTGAACTAAGTCACTTATTTTCCCATATTTTAGAAACTGTCTTTCCAACTTTGTGACAGCTGTTTCAGTAATGAAACTGCCCACATGCACAAAGTGAAATCAATAAAAGTGATTTTTTATTTT